TGTAACACACCATGTAAAATGGCGGCATACATGGTCCTGCCTAGAAGTTCTGTTACAAAGTGGACTAAGGCAGTTTTGCAAGCAGTTTACATCAGTTACACCCCTTATTCTTTCATTTACTTGGCATACTTGTAACATAGTAACCATAAGTGACAGTGCGTTTTATTCCCCTTTTATGGCCATCTTTTCTCCGCCGTCAAGTGGTTTTCGTCGTCTTCTTTGGCCTAATTTGTGTCTTTAGAGCCGTTTTATTAGTGTCCCCAAGACAGCGTGCAAACAGCCCGGAAATCTGTCTTAAAGATCGGCTCTTCGATTGTTTTATTTGTTGCTAGGTTTCAATAGAGGTAGACCTAATAACTGATCCCAGACTGAGTCCGTACCCATATTCCTTCACCTTTGATCCGGTAAGGCTACTCTTTGAAATTCGAATTCTTACTAAGTCGTTGCTAATGCTTAAGGATCTATTTCGGGAATTTGCACCATAAAGTGACTTTCACAATTACGGGCTACGTGAATCCTCTCACTCAATCCTTTAGTCCTTAAACTCAACTATCCTGAAGACTTTATGATCGTCATTTGAGTTTCAAAACCAGATAACCCGGTTCCTTGAAGCCTATGCCATTGTCGCCGATTAGGGCGAAACTGTAAAAAGCGCTGCCATCGTCTGCAACCTCACTAGATCGAAACTCGTCAAGCTCCATTACGCCTCCCTTCCCTTTTCTATATATGACTTGGTTCTTGGACTCTTGTTCAGGAGCAAGTCGGTTTAATTTTAATATTTGGTCTTCTGATTAGGATACTGCCTAGATCGGTCATACTGGGTACACAAGTTCTTGAGCTAAAGCCATCCTTATTCCCTATGTAAGGTACTGATTGGGCCTCACCAACAAGCTATTTCTTAGCTGGAATTTGGCGGATGGAGAGATGTTTCCGTAATAATTCTTGCGGTATTTGGACCCCTCTAAAGGGATAGTTATACCTGTACTTCTCCAGTCCAAGTTGCATTTACGTCCGAAAAAAAAACTCCCATACAACTGAGCAAACATTATTTGACTGAATATCTTTGTCTAGAGCAAAAGCGTTTGATGCCCGAAGACTTCAAGGTTGGGTTCGAGTTCTTGCCGAAACTGCCTTTCGCCCACAATTCAGCAACCTTGTTAAACGGCTTTGCCCATTAGCAACACACTTGTCTAGTTTCAGCTCCTTTTAGGGTGACATTTCCGCTGTTTTAAGAGGGTTCTTGTATTCTCTCGCCCTGTCCTCATCCGGGTTGGCTGTGCGGTTTCTGAAGAGGACGATTGACCCGCTTCACTATTGTCCCGATCTGAACATAAGATGGCTATCGAAAAATCATTTTCACGATTCAAAGACGTTCCGAATTCAGCGGTCATCATTTGATGCTTTCAATTTCTTTTTCAAATTCGGATACGATCCGAAAAAAATATTTTGGTCCTCGTTCTCTGCTCCTAGACGGCCTATTCGAGTCAGCCTATCGAATCGGTACCTATAGCCAAGAAACTGTTCGATGAGTCCATCCAGTTTGCGCCATTCACTTCATTTGCATTCACTCTTCGCCCACAGTGAGGCTAGGTACCGATCGTTCAGTACAGCTTTACTAAGGTAACAATTTTGAGATGCCTCCATAAAGGGGTTTCTTATAAAGTACAACCTTTCGCTTCTGGGCACGTATCCTAGGCCGTTCATATGATCCTCTGCCTTCAGTTGGGCCATAGTTGAGTATAGAAGGGGAATGGTACAGATGGTCCAGAACCGGAGCTCTCTTGGTCATTTCGGCCTCAACCGGATCCATTCGAAGGTTTGACATCCGATTTCAATCTGGCATACCAATGATGCTAATGAAAGGGTGAACCCATAGTAATGGAGTAAGTAATGCTTACAGCGAACAGACCAATCTTGATGTCTAAAAAGACAGGAGAAGTCCTTCGAATCGTCGAACCTTCACAGGCGGTCTGTCGTGGAGAAAAATCACAAAGTTCCTGGGGTACAGAAAGCTCATTGCAAGCTCAAGCTCATTGTCCTGTCCTCGAAGATAGGAACAGTACTGGTTGCTCGCGCCCTCCATTGACAGTAACCGTACTTTTTTTCACTGACGACTCATCTCTGGCGACGCTTCTCCACGACGACAGCTTCTTCTTGAGTATCGGGGATAGTTACGGACGAATCAGCGACCCGGTTCCTAGTGTTACGAAGATCGAAAAAGCCCATTCAACCGCGGTGAACCGCGAGTTAGCATTGACCGGTTGACCGCCCATGTGTACTTTATGAATTAGAATCGTATTCTTCGCCAGGTTCTTTGGTTCCGGTAACCAGTGGGCTGGCTGTCTGGATGTCTTCATTCTCTGGAGGTGTGGGCACAGCCGGTCCCAAACGCACAATCCAGTCCATTCGAATATACGCGTCCACTACTTGACCCTGTCACCATCCACTCCAACAAAAACCCGTAGACATCTCTCGCGTCCGTTTTTATCCCATTTGAAACTTTCGCCGATGACCTGAAAAATCGTAGCAGCGCAGTCGTAAGTCACAAATCTCCACGGAAATGCTGGTTTTTGTTTTTTACCCAAAAGGATTGATCGTTTATTGGATTACCCCATTCAGGGAGAATGACATCCTACAAAATGTTACGCCTATCAATTCAAAAAGGCGTTTTCTTGTCAAAATGTCCCATTGGCCTTGACGGGTCTTCAGCGGTGCTCGGTTTCACCTACATTAACGGAATCTGATCCTTGCTCTTTGATACGTGACTATTCCCCGACCATGGTCACTTTGCTCGGCTTTGTTGGAACTCTGGGAAATGATTTCCTAGATTCGATCTTTTCGGGAAGACGTAGGGATCGTACTGTACATCCATCACCTACCACCAACTCAATGTATAGAAAGAATACCCATTCAAAAACTTCCACTCTTCCAAGAAGCCACTGAACACGCATGGCTCAATCCAAGAACATGAGCGACCTGACTCACGGCAAGAGATTTGCCCTTTCGATAGCCTTTTTCAAAACCCTCATTTCAGGTCAGTGTTTCGCGCAACTCAGAGAGGCCATTAAGGAAGACCACTTTCTTCGACTTCAAGAACCTTTCAACCATTTTCTTTGAAAACAAATTCTCNAATTCTCGCTGGAGTTCTTTTTCAGCTTTATATTTCATTAGATTGTACGGAAGTTTCTGATGGATGACTAGTTTATGACGCTTTATTGGCATTACACGGAAATTCTTGAAAAGGGTGGAGCTAGAAATAAAATTGGTGCTGATTTGAAACGAGCCGCTGGGGCTAGAAGCGATCTTGGACTCATTAAATCCAACATCAGTCCGTCATGGCCCCATGTACCTGCTTCTTCAACTCTTTCCAGTTTTTCAGTCAGCAATGATGAGGAGTGATCTGGAACTCGCCAGTTCCAAAATGTGTTCACCTTACCTATAACCTACTGTATTCTAATTTTTTCCAATTTTTCAATCGACAGTGAATAGGGAGGAAGGTCGAGGGCCGAATGCCACCTCTGGGTAGGTACCTTGTGGTGTGCCGTACCTCGGAACGATAAGCTTGAACGGCATGCATTGCGGTGACTAACTAAGGCAACTATCCAGAACTTCATTCATTGTGAGACAACTAGCTGGGAATCGCAACACATCAGCCGGTACTTGTCCACTGATTTGCCCTTTAATACATACCTGCCTGTACCACTGAAGATTAGGAATCCTTGGTGAAGTTTCGCTTTTACGATGGAGTGCTCTGAGGTGATAAATAAGCGCTCTGCGGTGAAGAAGTAAGGATTGAGTGTCGGACTTATCACGTAATCAAGAGCTTTCTTCTATAGATGGCAAGCCTCTTTTGGCGGATTGCTCTTGCTCAGCAATCATACCGTAAACATAACCTCTGAACATCCCTACTGTTACAAGAGGCGTTCAGCCGCAGCAGGGTAGCTATGGAGCCGTAAGGCTCTCGACCAGCCGACTACGGCTAACGTAGCGTACTTGGAAGAGTACACAAGAAATTAGACGTAATTATCACGCCGTGAAAATTTTGCTAAATAAGGGGCTATACAGCGGCTAGATTGGCGCGAATCCGGGCCGACGGGACTTAATTACCCTACAAGGAACTTGACTTTTTTTGGCAACTTGACACTTTTCTTGGTTGTATTCAAAAACAGCATACGGTAGTTCAACAGTATACAGACAGTAGTGTACATACCACTAGTACAACGAGTGTCCCATCAAAAACCAGCTGTCCTATTCCTCACTTATTACCGTATCTTTACCGTAATTTGATGGTTTTCTGTAAGAATTTTCTGGTTCACTGAAGATTTTATCTGCTTACAAATTTTGGAAGGTCATTCGCTCTACCCATTCCTCTCGTCAAGTGGTGGGATTCTGTTTATCGAATGTTATCAGTTATTTATTATTTGTTAGTTAGTCATTAATGGAACTGAAAGTAAATAAGTAACCTGAGGACACTGGGCTTCTTTCTTCTTACTTGATGGCAAACGTCTTGTTTTGTTTTCTTGGCCAAATGCGAATTTTACAATTATTTTTTAATATATTTCAGCTTATTCGATAGTATTTCGATTTCGCTGAGCGTAAAGTGATATTTCAGATTGTGTTTTGTCTTTTTAAATGCCTCAAATCATTCCCCATAAAAATGCCATTGCTCCAAAGTGTTTGTTTGTTGTTTGCTCCTTGCTTACTCTTCGATCTGCCTCCATACTGATACTTTTATTTATTTATGTTATCCAGGTGTGATATCCTCAAGCGCTATTGTGCCAATCCGTCCTTATTCGGTTCGTTACTCTCATGAAGCACGACCAAATCCTTTTGCCGATTTCAGCACGATGTGGTGGCTGCTGGTTTTGTTGCCGGCAGCGGCAGCACTAAATTATCGATGTCAGAACAATCAGGTACTGGTTGTGCAGAGTTTTGGTAACGACACCATCCGAATGCACTGCCAACAGCTTGACATGTGCGGATACCAACAACTGGTACGTTCTCCCACTATTATTTTTCCTTTTTTTTCCTCCTCTATCCCTAATTTTCTCTTTTTTCTTGGAGATTCCCTACCCAAGAGCTTGAGCTTTTATAGAAGTTGGTAGGCCATTTTTAGGTGGTTCAGTTTTACAGTGAGCCTAGGCCTTTGGATTTTACAGAACAAAATTTTTCAGCGTTGTGATTACGATGATTCGCAGCCGCAATGTGGTGGTCTGATGAACTTCGTCGCTCATGTTGTCCAAGCCACTGCAACGTCACCGTGAGTTATTAGTCATAATTAATGGAAGTTTTTTTAATTTTCGATGTTCTCGTCTGATTCCGTTCTTTTTCTGATCATTAATTATCATCGAATAGGAACATCGAATACCTCGTGAATCATGGACTCTTTGCTTTATCTCATTGCCGTATTAGATTTTTTTGTAAACACTACAAAAGCACAGATCGAATTTGTCGTCTCTATCAACACCTAAAAGTCTGCTCATACGAAACTGGATAAATGCTGAGAAAAAACCAATGAGCGAATGTTCAGCACGGATCCTATTTCTTACCGTAATTTCGCTATTACATTGTGTTTTTACACCACTAATGGAATCAATTTACGACATTTTATGTCTAGCAAGTTAAAAAACGATGGGATTACGGTAAGGGTTCAGATTCACCAAAAGAGCTCATGTCTATGAAGCAAAGGTATTGTAAAGTGGATTGAAATAACGAGCCAAGAGTTCCTTCAAGTGGTGGCCTAGGCCTAGACCTGTTGAATAAAGGCTAACGGGGTGAGGTCAAAGTTGAAGTTGAATTGGAAGTTCAAGGAAAGCGACCACGAGAAGCCCCAAATAAAAGATGGACTGGCACTATGAGGAAGGACCTATCCGAAGCTAGGGTAACGGCAAAAGATGCCGCAGACCGAGAAGAAGGCGAGACCTAACGAAAGCAGCGGACCCTGTGACTGTGCGGGACTAACGCTAGGGTGTTACATCAACCTTGGTCTAGGTAGATTCGTGGACGTCGTAGCAGTTTACCATATCCTTTTCATACCAGCTCTCTTCCAACTGCAGTAAAGAAGACGTATACTGCATCAGTAGGCTGCTGGCCAAGTCTAGATTGGATTGGACATCTTGAATCGGAGATCGTATTGAAAAGGTGGTAGGGGAGGAAGGGGGGGGGGTCTAACAAATTGAGAATACTTATTGAATGGAAAACCTCATAACTCTGGGCACTACTCTTCGATTTCCTCCACATCTAGGCAGAAACTCCCGCACAGAAGCGGGAAACTGAATTTTTCATAAATTCTGTCCCCATGAATGGCCTATAGGAAGAGGTGAGTCATCTCGTTTACGTGTGGATCCGAATTCGATACGGATATCTTTATACTTGCGTTAAAAGGCCCCATTAACGCAATAGAAATTGAAAAGAAACTTCGTACGCGTCTCATTCCATTCTATGTTTTAAAACACTTTTCGTGACGTCCATTCTCAACAAAGAGAGGCGGTTCACTAGAAAGGGTGGCCAAAATGGAGTTTCTGAAAGGCGCTAAAAAACACGGAATTGACCAAACGATTGGTCTAGGTAGCGTTTTTGGCCATCGTTGCTGGTAGTAACTACATCTGGGCAATTAACTGAGGTCAAGGGTATACGAGGAGGTGAAGTGTGAGAAAAAGGCACGACACAACGGCGGCTCGCTAGGGCGTCGTGGAGAGGGAGATTTATTTCCATGAGCATCAATTGAAGCAACAATCCTTTGACCGCTATAAATGGCCTTTAGAATTTATGTGGGCTCCTTTGTCACAAACTCGGGACTGTTGAAGAATTTTTTCCTCTCATGGGTCGGTGTAGAATATCTGCCGATAGATCAATCCCACGGGAAGCGCGAGGGCTAAATGACGTGTCCAGCCGCTACACGATCCTCTAAGCTGGCCTTCTTCCTAGTTAATTCCAAACTCCAACCATATACTATAGTATAGATTAAGTTAGCATGGCCACAACACTATAATTTTGTAAGATTCTTGTTTATCTAATGCCTAGACCCTTATTAGACCCCTTACTTTTCGGATTTTGGACTTTCATAGANTGTCCAGCCGCTACACGATCCTCTAAGCTGGCCTTCTTCCTAGTTAATTCCAAACTCCAACCATATACTATAGTTATAGATTAAGTTAGCATGGCTACAACATTAATAATTTTGTAAGATTCTTGTTTATCTAATGCCTAGACCCTTATTAGACCCCTTACTTTTCGGATTTTGGACTTTCATAGAATTTCCTATGTAAAGCTTTGTTGGAAATATTTCTTTGAGAACAACGGGTCCCTTAGACTGCGAAGTTAGCATCTGGTCTCACAGGCACTGGAGTCAACACGCCTTACATCTGATACTCCCTGGTTGCTGAAGCCAGACGCCTTTTCCCTCATCGAACCAACATTCACGTTCAGGGGCAAACTACCCCTCGAAAAATATTTTCATGTCAGATCCTAAACTTCAAGTGACGTATTCCGGCAAAGTTCAGCCCAAATTCGGAATAGGTAATTTTCGAAGAAAAATCCCGCTACAATTCCTGAAAGTTCCCCAGGAAGGTCCACCGGGCATTTTCAGAGCCTGTCTGGGAGTTGGGGATGAGACATGGGTGGTGACAAAAAAATTTTCGCCGATGCTACACCTTTCTATGGATTGCTTCAGTTCTCTCCCACATATCACAGTACATTAACTTTCCCTTTGATATGAACCTTTCGTTGCTGTACCGCTTTATTCCGCCATGCTCGTGCCATATGTCCTTGTATCTTTGTAATGGTGCATAGAGCATTGCGTAAATGCATGACTATGGATATGTAGATTTATATGAGAGAATCAAAGGTTCCTAGGTTAACAAGTCCTCGACCGGACATCATTCTAAAAGTGAATGCATTTCATTAGCTTCGGAAGTAATAAGAGCGGAGAAATTGGGACGGAAGTTCATATTCGCATTAGGGACAAGCGCGACATCGTTAGCCCACCGTAACTCAACGATGTTCAAGAAAAAAACGAAGAACAGGACTGGAGAAACTCACGATTCAATGAATCAGGGCTATTACTACTTAATTGGAACTTCTTGAGCAACCTTACTTCGTAAGGAGGCCACATTACTTTTTAGAATCATTCGTAGAGTTAAGTTAGGAGTTGTTCTGCAGATACTGCTTTTTGAGCTCTACAGTAAGCCGAGGGAATTCGAATATTTGTTGATTTTGTAGAGTGGAACACACATGCTGCAATCTGTACAACCCTCGTGAACCTCACACGATTCCCACACACGTTGGTAACGACTGTTTCATCTACGAGCTACCTGATGGCTCTACACATCCGAAACAGCCGAGCAGCCACGACGACACACCGTATACAGTGCTGAAGGTAGGTCACTTACTTCCATAAAAGATAGTAAACTCCAATGATTTTTACAGAGCGCTTCTGAGATCCCTGAGCACATTGACGGTATGTCTGGGTATCGTCTACGCCTCTACCTATTGAAGAACAAAGCCCCTCCCACGTTACTTGTAAAGGGCATCGAACGAAGACTGTAAGTGATTTTTCTAATCAAATTTATCATTTTCATGGGTTTCATAGCCAATAAGAAATCATTTGCGTTCTGCTCACTGCAGTTTGATGGGATATAGAGGCAGGACTACTAAGTGTCAATGGAGTCCCTTTGAAGGCTTACTTATCTTCGCATAGATTTCGTCTCTCCTCTTTAATCCCGAGCTTTCGCTTTTGCAAGTCCAGGCTTTGAGTCAATCTTTGATTCGACTTTTAAGCAAAAGTTCGAGAGAATATATGCCAAATCAACTCCGGAGACCTTCTTCAAGTTGAGAGCCAAGTATAACCTCTTCTTCTGGCTAGAGAGACAGTCATCTATGTTTCCATTAACGTTAAAATCCTCCCACATTATGCCAGAGCAGGGTGCTGTTGGCAAAACCCGGAACCCATGCCTATTTACTCTGTATTGAACCGATATGAGCACTTTTCTACAACCGAAAAGAATTAGGTTCCAAAGACGAGTAGAATTAAATAGAACAGAAGAGCTCTATTGCCGCTTGACAGTTATACAGCCATAATAATCTCTCTTGAAATCAGTTTGAAGATTAAAAGCGAATTAAAAGAGATGGCAATCGCTTCCGCTATGAACATCCGCCCTTTCTAGAGATGGCTATCGTGTCACGATTTGTCGGCCCCGGTGTACATCCTACGAAGCAGTTAAAACAGAGGTAATCAGGTCCATAAGCCCCTACAATGTAGAACTAGAACTAATTATATGCACTGTGAAATTTAATCATAAAAGCATTTTGCTAAATTCGAGGGTACTCAGGAGCCGCCCACTGAATGGAAAGCAATCAGCTGGAGCAGTTGGACAAGTTCAACGTAGGTGGTCTACTTCAATATGATTTTTCTCGATTCTTCAGTGCCCCTGTTTCTTTAGGTGGTCGTCATGGGCACGTAGCGTATGGGGAAATGTAGCCAATGGCCAGAATCGTCAACGAGTCGAAGAAATCCACCATACGACAGAATCCAAGTCGAATCCAAGTCAGTCAGGATGTGCTATCTGGTAGTAGTGTTTAGACCGCAACGTCCCTTTTCAGCACCTGATGGACCTAATGGACCCCAAAATCTCCACGTACACGTGAATGCTAGCGGAAATAACAATAATGTCATAGAACCGGCTCAACCTGGTCATATCAACATTACGGTCCATACTGGACAGTACAGAGGCGGCAATAATGAGTTCAATACGAAGGTAAGAACTGTTTTTTGACTGACGGTGTAGGAACTGCTAAGATACTATGAAATACGGTGAAAGTACATGACATCAAACTTGCAGTTGACTTGTGATTCTNCAACGAGTCGAAGAAATCCACCATACGACAGAGTCCAAGTCTAACCCAAGTCAGTCAGAATGTGCTACCTGATAGTAGTGTCTTGACCACAACGTCCCTTTTCAGCACCTGATGGACCTAATGGACCCCAACATCTCCACGTGCACGTGAATGCTAGCGGAAATAACAATAATGTCATAGA